CATCATAATTCGAATTAAGAGGTTCCCGTTGATTACAATGGATGTGAGGGGTGCTAATACCTTCCCCTTGCGTAACAGACTCCCGAACCCAGAACATCGGTTGCGACGATCGTCTTCCTGTTCTTTCATTTTAAAAGGTTTTCTCGATATTTTCCTTTCCCGTCTCTTCGAGATAAATAAAGTTTGGTGGCGACTCTGTCGAACTGCTTTTCCGCGCCTTTGGTGCAAGGGTCGTGTGTTTGAATAATTTTTTGAGGTGCGACAGATATTTAACAAATCTATCGGCTAATTTAAGGGACATCCTATCGCACCTCGAAAAATCACATCGAGAAACAAACCTTACGCTAAAGGTGTGGAAATGCGGTTCGACGAAGTCGCCAGTGAACTTTATTTATCCCAAAAAGGGAAAGGAAAATATGGAGAAAACCTTTTAAAACAAAAGGACAGGAACATGGTCTTTGCAACCAATGTTCTGGGTTCGGGAGTCGGTTACGCAAGGGGAAGGTATTAGCACCCCTCAGGTCTGTTGTACTCAACGGGAACCTCTTAGGGTGATTTGCGGTGGGCGTTATCTAAGCTTTCTTGTTTTCTTTTCAATGATAAATGCAAAACAATACAATAAAAGGATAACGATGCTAAGGGAAAATTGGTGGTTATAGGATAGGGTGTTCGCCAAGGATTAGGGCTCTTATGCCTACGTATGCTCATTCGGACGAGAATGAGAAATCAGAGCTCTCGTAATTCGACTACGAGAAAGGTTAGAGGGGAAAAGGAAGATGGATAGAAGGTAGAATGGCGGAGAAAAAAGGAAGTGTGAAAATATGGAAAAGAGAAAAAGGTAGCTCTCTAAGATCATCGCAATCTTGTCCTACGTATCTTACATTCAAACGAGAATGGAGAATCAGAGTGCCCGTAGTTCGTGGAGACGACCACAAAAATATGAAGGGTTTGAATTGAGTTTGAAGTTTGGTTTAGGAAAGAAAGACTCAATGACAAACAACCCAAGGGGCGCGCCTTGAGAGTTGTCCCTCAAGAATTCAAGGAATGCGAGATTCCAAGAACCCAGTTCTTTCAAGAATTGCTTGAAAATAGGGTAGGAGAACGGGTTAAATATTTTTAAATTCAAAAGATTAAATAAACAACAGCTCAAGGGTCGTGCCTCGAGATCTATTCATTTGAAGGTTCAAGGAATGCTAGACTCCAAGAATCTCCTTCTTTCGTAAGTTGTTTAAGAAAAGCGTTTATAAAAAGATTGAATCGAATTAGTTACGAAAAGAAGTGGACTGCAAGGTAAAAGGCACTCAACTTACAACTTGGTTTAGAATACCGCTTGACGTTGGATCAAGGATTTGACTTATATTGCGTGCAAAGATGTGTTGGAAAGGAGGTTGACTTGAAAATGGCTTGACGATGAGTCAAGGGTTTGATTGAAAATGGAATCAGCTTGACGATGAATTAAGGGTTAGGTTGTGAGAAACGATACTAGTCCCTGAAGGTTCCCCTAATATCAAAACCACGATGAAATGTGAGAGTGTGTGCAATAGGGTGATGGCGAATACGGACGAGCACTCAACTTACAAGGGAGGTGTTTAAAAATGGCTCGATGATGAATCGAGAATTAGTTTGAAAATAGTTTAGTCTACGCTAGTCCCTAAGGGTGCCCCCTAGAAGATAAACCACAATCAGAAGAACACGAATGCGTACATCAAAATGGGAGAGGAATACATGTGAGTTACACGGGATTGCACAAAATAAAAGGTCTCGTTGTAAGGTAGCCCAAGATAAAGTTGTGTGTGTGCGAGGTGTCCTAAACTATGCCTTGAACAAAAAGTCGAACAAAACTCCAAGCTAGGGTTTCTGACAAAGTCCAATAATCCGTTGCTCGGACAAGTAACTAACAGTCCACCAATTTAGGCTTTTATTGTTTCAATAATTGTTATTGCGTTTTGAAAAAGAATGTGAATAAGAGATTAACAAGATGAATATGATATGAATAATATTGCAAGATATATAAATACAATCAAGATAATATTCACAATAGTATAGTCAAGATAATATTAAAAGTATATGAACAAGATAATAAAATCAAGGTAATATTGACTGAAAATAAAACAATGGTATATTTGACTGAAAAGTAAAACAATAATATGTTGAAGGAAAGTAAAAGTTATTTGTTAGTTTAATTTGAATTGAATCGGGGGAAAATGTAGCGCTAAATCGTCGTAGCTCGATCTATGACGAAGATCAAGCTATATGAGGTCGTGCAAATTGATATACGTGCTAAAAATTAGATAGAGAAATGATATTGAGGATCATTCTCCAATGTAATCGAGTCACACGGACTAAATAAAGGGGTATCTAGTCTTAATCATAAACTCGTGTCGATTAATCGAAAGTAACCTATCACGACCTCAAAGTATAGAAAATGATCCCAATGACCATTTTCTATAGATTTGAAATAATGAAAGTTAACAACCTCGAAAATCAATGTTTATGAATCTGAAGACTTCATCGGTCGAGAAATTGAGATGAAATTGAAATGAAAAAGATGGAGAAAAAAAATGAAAATAGAATAGAAAAAAAGTGGTGGTCTCATCTAAATCACTATTTTGTCAATAAATTGACAATAGTAATGTTTGGTTTCTTCATCGACCAAAAAGAAATAAAGTGGATAAAATCAAAAATGAAAAGATAAAATATACAAGATTCTTCATAATTAGTATATTGGCAAAAATGAAAAGATAAAATCAAAAATGAAAAGATAAATCGATAATAGTATATACAAAAACAAGATTCTTCATAAAATATTGGCAAAAATATATAAAAAAATCTTTGAAAAAAAATTGAACAAGGGGTGTTTAAAATAAACAGACATGTATAAAAAGAAATAACAAAAAGGGATCATTTGGGCTTTGCAAAGCCCATCACCCTAAAAAAAAGGTGATTGCCACAAAAAAAGCGAGGGTGTGGGTCACAAACATGAACACGGGCCGACGACCCAACATTCCCCCAACAACTCTCTTAAGGAAGTTTTACCTCATACCCCTACACTTGTACCTATACCCCTACATTAAAAATTTTTGGACCAAAATATCCTCGTATAAAAATTTATTATTTTTTAATTTTTTTATATTTTTTTATTTGTTTACCGGAAGACTTTTTGGAAGTCTTCCGGTTCATATTTTTTTTCGTATGTTTACCGGAAGACTTTTTGGAAGTCTTCCGGTTCATATTTTTTCGTTTGTTTACCGGAAGACTTTTTGGAAGTCTTCCGGTTCATTTTTTTTTTAATTTGTAATTAATATTTAAGATTTATTAACTTTATATAAAGACCAATTTAGTAAATTTTTGAATATTATACTTAAAATATAAAAATTCTATAAATAGAGAATTATTTTCAGAATATTTTCTATTTGCTATAATTATTAGAATACAATGAGATTAAAATTATTTATTTTAAATGATCATAATAATAAAATTTTCTCAAATATCTTATTAATCTTAAACATTAATAAATAAAATAAATTTAAATATAGAATATAAGTTTATATTATTCAATATATTTAATCAAATGAAAACATATGTGATAAATAAATAATGTATTTTAACTTAAAATGATCACAATAAGTTAACTTGCAAAATAATATAAGTAATAAATTAATAATGTATTTTATTTAAAATAATCACAATAATAGAATACGCAAATAATGTGTTTTATTTATAGGACTGATATAGTTTTATTGATTATTTAATTTTGAATACTACTATGAATATAGTATTTAATCTATACTTTAGAACTCACATAATTATAAATATAAAAAATATTGTTTTATTACCCATATTTTTATTTAATTAAAAAAATAAGAATATAAATTTATTATTTGTTTTTCATTTTCGTTTGATCTTTTTTTATTTATAAATTTTTTGCATATTCTATACTGTGCTCACTTTAAATAAAATATATTATTTATTTTATTAAAAATATTAAATAAAGTGAAATAATTAAAAAGATCAAACAAAAATGAAAAACAAATAATAAATTTATATTCTTATTTTTTTTAATTAAATAAAAATATGGGTAATAAAATAATATTTTTTATATTTATAATTATGTGAGTTCTAAAGTATAGATTAAATACTATATTCATAGTAGTATTTAAAATTAAAAAATCAATAAAACTATATCAGTCCTATAAATAAAACACATTATTTGCGTATTTTATTATTGTGATTATTTTAAATAAAATACATTATTAATTTATTACTTATATTATTTTGCAAGTTAATTTATTGTGATTATTTTAAGTTAAAATATATTATTTATTTATCACATATGTTTTCATTTGATTAAATATATTGAATAATGTAAACTTATATCTTATATTTAAATTTATTTTATTTATTAATGTTTAAGATTAATAAGATATTTGAAAAAATTCTACTATTGTGATCATTTAAAATAAATGATTTCAATCCTAGTATTCTAATAATTATAGTAAATAGAAAATATTCTGAAAATGATTCTCTATTTATAGAATTTTTATATTTTAAGTATAATATTCAAAAATTTACTAAATTGGTCTTTATATAAAATTAATAAATCTTAAATATTAATTACAAATTAAAAAAAAAAACATGAACGGGAAGACTTCCAAAAAATCTTCCGGTAAACAAACGAAAAAAATATGTACAGGAAGACTTTTTGGAAGTCTTCCGGTAAACATACTAAAAAAATGTGAACCGGAAGACTTCCAAAAAGTCTTCCGGTAAACAAATAAAAAAATATAAAAAAAATTAAAAAATAATAAATTTTTATACGAGGATATTTTGGTCCAAAATTTTTTAATGTAGGGGTATAGGTATAAGTGTAGGGGTATGGGATAAAACTTCCCTCTCTTAAAACAATAAACATCGTGGAAAAAGGAATGCCATCGGTTTTAACACAAATTAAAGCCTTTTTTTTTTTTGCAATACGACAAAACAAATGCTACCAAAATGAAATGAATATCAACAGTAGAATATCATCCACCTTCAATAAGTACAATTTCTCCCTGATTTCATCTCGATTTCGCTTCGGTTTGTCCACTCAATCTCCCTCACTCCGCAATCGCCCTTCTCGTTCGAGCTTTTTCCAGGTCTGTAAGGTTTCGTTTTACACTTTGATTTTGTTTAACTCTTCTTCATCTCAGTCTTTGATTCGTTTGTTCGTATTGGTTTGGATTTGAGGTGTGGGTTGAAAGAGATTTGGGGATTCAGAAAAACAACAGGTTAAAGGATGATGTGAAGAAGGTTGAAGATTGGGTGAATATGTGCGTTTTAGGGATTGAAGGAGGAGGATTTAAAGGAAAGGTGATTTGGGGTTGATGAAGGTTAGGCGATGGAAGAAAATGAGGTTGAGCAAGGAGAGAATGAGGGAATTTACGAAGGGTTCTTGAAGCTGCAACATGACCTCCTTTGATTCTCAGAGAATGTTCAGGTTTTATAGGGAGTAATATTTTTCACACGTTGCCCCTTTTTTTTTGTGAATTCCAATCTGTTATTTGGTGCCTCACGTATTGGCTGATGTGTGTAGTGTTGTACATTTTTCACAGCTGGAATTGGTTTCGTACGATTTGTGTAGCGGCATCCGTTTTGTCCTTTACCGCAGGTTTTCTTTCATTCTTGTAAGGTGAAGAATCATGCCCAGAATGTGATGCGTGTTATCCCTTTTTTTTTGCTTATACAGTATGGCTATTCGGTTATGGGGTCCGGCTAGTATGTGTTTGGACGATGCTGGATTTTTCAACGTGATTTGGAATCTTTGAAGCTAAAAGTTGTGATACCTTATTCAAATCCCTTTTTTATTCTTTGATTAAAATGGTAGTAGATTAAACCTGTTGTAGAAAGTTTTTATAACCTATGGGCTTAATCAACAAATGGTAGTAATAATAAATAAATAAAAGAAAAAGAAATGGACCTTGCACTAATATGGACCCGATTTTTGTTTGGGAGCATTTTGTGTGTGAATGAACTTTGGATTGTAACTATAGTTTTGTGGATTTTGTATGTAAAATATGGTATGGACAATGTATGGGATGTTGTATTAACAACGTGAAAAGAAATGGATCAGGATCTTAATTAACAAAGGAATTGGATAGACTTGGTTAAATACTTAGATATGGAATCAGAATTGATTAAATACGGACACTTGATTTTGGACACAAAAATTGAATGAAATGAATTTGGGTTTGAAATCTTGATTTCATATAACAATGAACCTTTAAAATGAAACTTATGTCCTGAATATGAACCAAAGGAACAGGAACAACGCCTTGAAAATTAGAAGATTACGCCTTGAGATATGCACCCCAGTACACCAAAACCCTAATTTAAAAATGAATCGAATTCTGATAATTCTCAACCATGAAGCTCTTTCCTTGATTCAGTCTGATAACTTAGTCCATATACATTTTGAATTAGCCCAAATCCCTGATTTAAAGCCTCAGATTCACACACCATATAAATCATATATCGTGGCCTCAGTCTTGAAATAAATTTGCCTGACCAAAGTTAGGTCACAACCAGACTTCAACCCACACTCTTGACTTGATATCCTCAAATGAATCTTGAACTCATCCTTGCAACAACATGGATTTAGGAAACTGGAAAACAACATATACTTTTTTTTCTGAATAAAGGTTAGTGGGTAGATTTATAGAATAAAAGCTATACACAGGTGGGACAAATTTGGGGTATGACACATACTAGTTGGTTGCAATTCTTCTAGGTTTAACCTCTTACAAACTGCTAAAGGCATTAAGCTTACACTGGCTCCTAAGTCTATAAGTGTTTTATCGATAACTTGATTTCCTCAAACGCAAGGTATAGAAAAACTTCCTGGGTCTTTCTCCTTTTTAGCAAGCTTATTTTCAGCAATAGAATTGCATTCTAAGGGTTTTGGATCATCAAGCCTTTGTTTGTTGGTTAATATGTCTTTAAGGAATTTGGCGTAAGACGGTATCTGGGTAATGGCTTCGGTGAATGGAATCTCTACGTGGAGTTTCTCGACCACTATTATAAACTGTTTATATTGGTTATCTAACTTGGGTTGTTTCAGTCTTTGTGGGTATGGAATTGGAGGTTTATAAGGAGGGGGTGGTACATAAACTTTATCGCATTTTACTCCTTCGTTATTTTTAATTCTTTCATCCTTTGGTTGCTCAGATTCTACTGATTTCTCTACTTCTTTCTTGGGTGTGGTCACTACATTTTTCTTAGGGGATTCTGGCTTATTCAACCTAGGGTCTACAGGCCCATCATAAGCAGTTCCACTCCGTAGGGCAATAACGTTAGCATGCCCTTTGGGGTTAGGTTGAGGTTGTCCAGGAAATTGTCCTCCTGGTAAAACTTGAGTAGGTTGTTGTTGTGCCACTTGAGAAATATGGGTTTCAAGCATTTTGTTGTGAGTAATTACAGAATCGAGTTTGGTGCCCAATTGTGTAATTAGTCCATTTATATGAATGTTTTGGTTCATGAAATCCTTGTTTTGCTGAAACCTTCCACTATTTTCTCAAAATCCGGCTTTTGAGGAGCATATTGCATAGGTGGTTTGGTTTTTGAGCTTGGAAACCAGGTGGTCTTTGGGGTGTAGAATTATGAGTAAGGTTGTTATTCTTATAGGAAAAATTTGGGTGATTCCTCCATCCAGGGTTATACGCGTTAGAATAGGGGTTGCCTTGGGCGTAATTGACCTGGTTTATGGTTGTCTCAGCTAAAAGATGACATTCAGCTAGAGTATGTCCTTGGGTTCCACAGATCTCACATTCGGGTTGAACTGCAGCTACAGTAGCTGTAGGGTTGATAGTCAGGCTTTCTACTTTTTGGGTTATGGCGTCCATTTTGGCATTTATATGGTCGAGGCAACTGACTTCATAAACACCTCCTTTGGTTTCTTTCTTCTTTACTGGGGCTCTTTCCGATCCCCATTGGTAATGGTTTTGTGTCATATCTTCAACAAGAGCGCAAGTCTTATGGTAGGGTTTGTTCATCAAGGCGCCACCGGCGGCAGCGTCGATGGTCATCTTGGTGTTATACATGAGTCCGTTATAAAAGGTGTGAATTATGAGCCATTGTTCTAGCCCATGGTGAGGACAAGCTCTTAATAGTTCCTTGTATCTTTACAAATCGTCAAAAAGTGATTCTCCCTTGTTTTGAGTGAATCGAGTTATTTGGTTTTGTAGGATAGCAGTTTTACTCGGTGGAAAGGATCTAGTTAGGAATACTTTCTTTAGGTCATTCCAAGTGGTTATGGAGTTTTCTGGAAGGGAATCTAACTGTGATCAAACTCTATTTTTAAGGGGGGAAAATAGTCTTAGACGTATCGCCTCGAGAGGAGCACCGTTGGCTTTCAAGGTGTCGGTTAATTGGATAAAAAAATCCAGGTGTTAGTTCGGGTTCTCTGTAGGAAGACCTGGGAACTGGTTCTGTTGCACTAATTGTAACAGAGATGGTTTTAGTTCAAATTTATGAGTTGGTATAGTTAGGTTTACTATACTAGAGTGGAGTTCTTCGTTAGATGGTAGGGAGAAATCCTTAAGTGGTTTCTCGTTCTGATCTTCTACCGTTGCTTTTTTAAGTCTTCGGAGCAAAAGACGAGCTCGAGCATATTGTTCGGTTTGTCTATTAGATCAACTAGGTTTCCGGTGCTGCGAGTTCTTCGCATTGACCGGCTAAATGGATGCTTTAGTCTAGATGGTGTAACAACAGGGTATGAAATTTGACGAAATTGGTCCCCGACAACGGCGCTAAAAACTTGATGCGTGCTATCCGCAAGTATACGGAGTACATCAGAGTAATATAAAAGATTATCGATCCCACAGAGACCAATGTCAATCTATCGATTACTATTATTATGGTGTTTATCTAAAGCTAATGAAAACAGAGAGTAATACGAACAGAGAAAAATAAATAATTAAGGAATAAATTCAAATTTAGAATAAAGGCATACTGGAATGTAATTCTCATCGATCAAACAGTACTCTTATTGTCTAAGTAGTAATACCTATGGGGAAATGTTTTGTTCCTTGAAAAAGAGTTAATCAAAAAGGAACTGTCGCGTTAGCATAATTGGAACCATACCTGACCTTTAATCTATACCAGTCGCTCACGCTACACCGGTCGCATCTTGCGTTAAAGTGAAAAAATCATTTTTTATATAACTACCTCTAAGACTTAGTTAAAAAGTGTTTCTGATTGAAAAATTTAATATCAAAGGGTTTTCGGCATATGCTCGGCCAACCGGATCCTAAATCTATAAACGCGTTCGAAAATAGTTTTAAAATCACTTCCTAATAATACCAAACTTTCCTAATTAATTAATAAAGCGCTTTCGCTGTTTTTACCAATTAAAAACTAACCAACTCTTATCTAAAGTGTCGGACGACTTTCGATCTTATCTGACATAGTCACGGTTACTACGTAAACAAAAACACGATCCTGTTTACGAAATGTAGATCAGTTTAAGTTCAGAAAAATTGCATTAAAATCTAAAACAACCCCTAAAGCATTTCTACAAATACAACATATGGAGTACCGTCGAAACGATGATCCTCACATTCCAGTACAACATATTTAGCTAGACATGACGGTGATAAACATAATAAATTTGTTTGTAGAATAAATCATTTTTAGGGAAATAATTACGTGCGTGATTGGTTTTCAAATGAACAAAAGTGTCACTCTTAGGTTCGATTCAGAAAACGAATCCTTTGAAATAAAGCAATATGTAAATGTGCAGAAAATTAGACGGGTGCTCGGTTTCCAAAAGTAAGAACGAAAGTGTCATGCTTAAGTTCACTCTTAGAAAACAAATCTTTGAAATAAAAGCGATATGTAAATCGTGCGAAAATTAAACACGTGATCAGTTTCCAAAAGTAAGAACGAAAGTGTCACGCTTAAGTTCACTCTTAGGAAAAAAAATCTTTGAAATAAAAGTGATATGTAAATCGTGCGGAAATTAAACAAATTAAAGCAAGGCGGAAAGTAATGCAAATAATAATAAAAATGCGAGTAAAATAAAACTTGCTCCAAATCGAAGACTTGAATCTGGTACAATGCTGGAAAGTAATTTTGACTTGAAAGTAAAATGACGGCAAGCTTAAAATTCCTATGCTACGATGCTCCAACCTTGGTTACAACAATGGTGTGATAACCCCTCTATGTGATGGATTATCGCTTCTAATAACTGGATATATGTCTATGCTGAGAACTAAGATTGGATGCTTAAAACTAAAAATGTTGGTCTTATTTATAGTGTAACACTGCCTTGAAAATCACGTAGTGTCTTCAAAAACCGTGTGGAGGAAATATCTCTGGTCATGGCATCA